AAATATTTACCAAATGATCCAGATTCTAACGACAAGACCTGAAAAATGCATTACAGTTTTTTGGCAATCTAAACTGTAGGAAGATCTTTCCAAAAAAAACTTACCAAATATTACCTAAAACTGAAATTGCGCAAAGAAGAAAATTCACTTCCCATGTGGAAAAGAATAAACGCATGCATCATTCATCTGACACCCAATCTTGTTATTTTTATTTTTATTTTCTGGTTTATTTTTAGTGGGATAACGTGCAGACAACTAATGGGCTGGACTTATGAACAGTTTGATTTTATAGTTTGGCAAATCGCTTCCAACCTGTTGTTGTTCGGTTGATCGGACCCAGATCGGATTAACCTCGTTATATTACGAAAAATTGTTGATCCCGGTAAATGACCCATTTGATCCGATTGAATCATTGATCCACCTGACACGTGTAATGTTATTTGGCTTTTTTTTGTTTGTAATTTGCATTATTTTTTTTATTTATAATGACATTATACGCTAAACTGCTTTTTGCAATTTGTATTATTCTTAATTTTACAGGTTAATCCATGTCGTAGGATGGTTGAACCGCTGATTCATTCAGCGGGAGAAAAAATCAGTTTGACTGACCTCTGAATTCTCATCCAGGGCGCCCTTTGGTGCAGTTTTCTGCATGGGCTGTCCGCTTTTTAGAAGCTCAGCTGTTCGTTTTTGGGTCTTTCTTTGTTTGGTTGGAGGAAGATTTTTTCGTCAAAAAACTATGTCCCGAAAAGACGTGAGAAGTTCAATTCAAACTTATTTTAGGAAGTTTGAAATGGAGCTTTTCATCATTTTTTTTGTCTTGTCTTCACGTGGAAAGATGCATGGAAAGACATGCCTCCAACCAAACGATCTTTGGGCTACTAAGATCATTATGTGAAAGCTTACTATGTTTTTTGGTTGTTAGATCTTCTTTCAAAAAAGGCTTATTAAACGGCACCAACATTATCTAGAGCTGTAAACGATATCTGGTTGTGCAAATTCAAATTTGATCTTATTAAGACTGATCCGAATTTGACCCATTTATAATTTAATTGAATATGGGTCCACCCTATCCAATCTGATATAATCTAATTCAACTCGATTTAAATATATATACTCATATACATTTAAAATTCATTATATCTATTAATAAAGTTGGCTTGAATATTGTATTTTCAATAAATTGTTTTCATAGGTTCAAGTTTCATATTTGTTAATTTCATATAATATTTTTGAACTTTTTTGTCTAATTTATTTATACTATTAAGTATCCGATTATAATCTGAATTTGATTCAAAACCACTTATATCCGATGGATATGATCTAATTGAAATCCGAATATAAACAAACCAAATTTGGTATCCAATTTGATTTGATCCGTTTGCACCCTACTGTCCAATACATTTCATGGACTTGGATGAATTGTATAGCCCAGTTTCTCATAAAATTTTTCTGATTTTTGAGGTTTCTGATCAGTGAGTTTATATTATATGCTTGATGATGGAAGAATATGTATTTCCATAAAAAAATATTTAAATATTTTGAACATTGAAAATAACAGCAAAAATTCTTCTAACTTGTCGGATTCGGGAGTGCTTATTTGTAAGTGCTTAAAAGATTTCAAAAGCACCCAAATAAGCTAAAATGGGCGCGCATTTGGTAAAGAAAAAGGTTCAAAAAGGTGTCTTTCACCCAAAAAGCCCATTTCGAAGAAAAAAAAAAACCCATAAAATTTGGGTTTATTGCTTATTACGTTGGATGGGTTGGGTCAGGTTTAAGTTCAACAGGCTTAAAGTCTCAGACCAAGGCCAAATTTGAACTATCCAATCTGGTCCAAACTCAAGCTAGTCAATCTAGGAAATGGCAACAGGGTAGGGTGGGAGCAGGTTTTGGCATTTGCATGCCCCTCCTTTACCCCAAAGTAAAATACCCCATTCCATATTCCAACAGGCTAAAAAATCTCAACCTCATGACCGTCCCTTTGGAGAATGGGGATCCCTAAATTTGCCTTGCCCTGCCTTGATCATTTATATTTGCCCTTTGATGAGAGATAATTTGGCCCGTTAAACGATGTGATGACACATGGAGTGATAGAATGATGAGGTGACACCTCGATGACCTCAGCAATTCCAGTCACCTCGCGCACATCGGGTCACCCAGCTAGATCAAGGCTTAAATAGCTCAACTATATGCACCGGTCTGTTGAGATGCCACGTAACCTCCATCTAGAAGTAAGCCAACTGTCTCCGATCTCCTCGGGATCACAACACCATGTCAACGGAGTTCATCTTCTCCCCGCCTGATTCGGAGGGACCTGGATAAGCCTTATCAACTTACGTGGAGTCCGTCTTTGGGTACGAAGCCAACTCCGGACCAGATGGGCCAAGGATCTCAGACACACATCGTGAGGCCCATGACAGCTTGCCTATATAAAGGCCTTGCCTCCAACCTCACAAGGTATGCGCGATTCAGCTCTCTGAATACTCTAGCAATATTGCTTTCAACTCTCTCAAAAACTTCCAGTTTGCTAACTTAAGCATCGGAGTGCCCACACTGGGTAAAGCACCCCGGACACTCTGACCTCCTTTTCTTGTAGCTCGACTAGGCGACCTCATTAGTCCGACGTTCGAGCTGTCCTCCGACAAGGAACACCAGATCACGCGTCATCAACCCCAGCCTTATGGAAAACAGATAGACCTTAGAGGGCTACCTACATATCCTTTAACAATGGATCAGGCCATCATTATTTGCTGATTTTAGAAAATTGGGATCTACTCCTCACAAAGCACACCTCACATCCATATCCCACCGTGTATTGAGAACATCACCCATGAACAATAATACAAAAGTATGAAAAATGTTCTCAATACATGGTGAGGTGTACCTGTGAGGTCAATGTGAGGAGTGCTCTATGAGGAGCAGATCTAGACCCTTCTAAAACGTTGAAGACCGAGAGAGTGAAAAACAACTCCCTGTAGATTTAGTCCCGGTTTGGGATCACTCCAGAGAATCTCATTCTCAAAATCCTTTTTGAAAAGGATAGATTTTGAGAATTTTCATCCTGAGAATCATTATAGTCTTGTTTGGCACAATCATCTGAGAATCATTATAGTCTTGTTTGGCACAATCCTGAGAATTTATCGTTAACATCCAAGACAGATTTATATTAATATAGAGGGAGAAATTTCCTGCATTCCAAAACTATTGGAATGAGAGATGGGTAAAAAAAGCCTTAGGTTGACATGTTATTTGTCAGATTTTCATACAAGTTAAGATAGATGACTGGATCTGGTACCCCAAAAAATAAAAGTAAAAAGAAAAAAGAAAAAAAGAAAAGAAAATAACATATTAGTGGACTCAATACAAGGACTTCAACTAAAAAATGTTTTAACTCCTATATTGTTGTCCTAGCTACAGCATCACCATCCGTGAGCAACAATCAATTTTTTGGGATCAAGAGAGAACGAAACAATCAATTTATTGTTTTGTGGATACATTGCACCAACAATAAAATTTATTGGGATCAAGAGTTCCATACCTGTGAGTTGGGAGAGTAATGACGGTGTTGGAGACGACCGATGAAGAAAGAACGACTGAAAAGGATTCTCAAACTGAGAAGAAAAGAAAGAAAAAAAAAACAATGGAGAGAGTCGTTGCAACTTAAAATAATATGTATGAGGAAGATGATGTGGAGAAAACAAAACTAGTCGAAATATTACCTGAGATAGAGTATGAGAAAGATGATGTCGGCGATGCTAGAGAGAGTTGTTGCAACTTGCAAGAAGATGCAAGGCAAAATATGAAGAGAACGAGGGTTTTAGGTCGAAGATATTTATAATTACCATTGTACCCTCACTATCACGTGTGACTCTTATCACACGTTCGTTTTTTAAAAAAGGATGTCACGAAAATGAATTCGACCAAGATTTCTCATTCAAAGAATCCAATTTTTTTCACTCCAATGAATCAAGCTGACGGAGGGGTTTTTTCATCCCATTTCAAATGAGAAACGGGGGCCGAGCAAAACCAAACACGATTCTCATTCTCATAATCGCTAGAATCACCAAAAACGATTCTGAGAAGTGATGCCAAATGGGGCCTTAGGGTCCCTTCCCCATAAAACGGGTCCTTAATTTATTAGGGTCCCATATGGGGAGAGGACCCTGTTTATAACTTTTTTACGCTATTATTTTTAGTGAACCTAGAGTAATAAGAACTTGTTTTTTTTTCCTGGACCAGACTACTTTGATTCGATTAGATCATCCAGAAACAATAAACGCTGATTTGGGCAGGAAAGATGGGCCCACGGGAATCCAGCGGGCTTAGGTTTGTTAGGAGAGAAAGAGACCCGCTCCACCAGAATTGATGCGGGTGGGGTACCCCGTACCCGATCTACATGCCCATTACCAATTTTCATATTTAACATCAACACACAGCTGACAGTTCATGTGAGAAATGATTATATAGAAAAGGTTGATATATCTGACGGCTAGCATTATTTGATCATGTCAGCTATCTTCACTTAGAAGGAACGATTTTTATCATGAGCCCCACATCTCGTGATCAGACAATCATAACCATCCAATTAATGACACTCATTAAAACCCTATACGGATCCCCAAAAGAATGTCCGAGCAAAGAGTCAACAAAATCAAAATCCTTCCTTGCAGCCATCAATCATCTCTTTTCTCTTAATTAACTCCAACCCACACCTCACTCCACTGTCTGCGTTCAGATCCACCACTCACCAGCCGAATTGGGACCCATTCCTCACATAGGACGCCTCTCACCGACCTCACAGCATGGTGAGAACATCTCCCGTGAATAATAATGTAATAAATACGGGAGATGTTCGTAATATATGGTAGGCTGTGCCTGTCAGGTCGGTGTGAGGCGCTGTGTGTAAGGAGCAGATCCGGTCTCCTTACAGCCTATCTCCTATAAAAAGTCAAGCATTGACTTTCCAGGTGACTGTATTTACCGTCTATAAACTGTAGATCATTTGCTGGCATCGGCGACCGCGGATGACAGCTCAGCCCAGCGACACGCCGGAGAAAAAAACTAAGGCTTTATTTATTTTTCTTTCTTTATTTTCGGTCTCTTCTCCTAACGACCAATGAAATTTCTCATAATAGGAAAAAATAAGGAAAAAAAGGTATTCGTTGGAACTTCACTCTCGATCTTCTTCAGTCGATACGCAGCAAGTCCAAAAGCTTCAACTAATCGTTATTTAATTTCATTTTTCTGAAGCTTTTAATGACGTAGAGGAAGAAAAATAATTTAAATGATTGGAGGGGTTTTGTTTTCTAATCTCACTCTGTCGGTGGGATTTATAAACTGACACTGAGCCATTACAGCTAGAGCTGATCGTTGCTCTGTCGCCTTCCTGCTTTTTGTTTTTTTAGGGGATTTCTATTGCAGGGGCAGGTAAAGGGTGGAGGCATTTTGAGCTTTTGAGCCAGCCGCGGCACGAGTTCTTCGTCCGCGGTGGTTGATTGATCCGCTGGTCGATTTATCACTGTTTTTCCTTGCAGGATTCTTGTGGTTATCTTTGAATGATTAATTTGAGGTGGGTTTTCTGATTTCTGTTGTTTGAAAAAAAATTCGCTCACATTTGGTGAATTATCACCGGGAGAAAGAATAAACCTTTTTTGTCCTTTAATTTCTCTGTGATTCAATTGTTTTTTGAAGAGGAATTCGCATTAAAAATGTGTTTTTGATGCATTTGGTTTTGTTGGGTAGAGTGGATCCGGATGAAATTTAGTGATTTTGTGAAAAAAATAAAAGGATTTTGACCGCAAGAGAAGACTTATGGAAGGGGGAAAGCTGATTCTTAGTATATCTTTTTCAGGTGTTTCAAGGCAGATCTGAACTGGAACTGAACCATTTCAGGAAGAAAAGATAAATCTGATAAATCTGTTTTTCAGAGTGAAAACGTGGAAAAGCAGATTCCTAAGCTTTTTTGCATGTGGTGAGAGGTAGACCCGAGACTTTTTGGAGTGTCGATGATCCTTAGATCTCGTTGAGATTTAACCAGTTTATCTTATCGATCACCCCCACTCGACTGAAGGGAAACAGACGCCAATGGAGTCCGAAGGAGAAGCAGCGGTTAGTATTCGATCTGTTCCCCCTGTCCACTATGCTCTGAAATTCATTGGGTGCATAAGAATCTCAGTTTTCAAAGTCATGAGATTTCAATGTCTCACATTGTGCTTCACTTATCTGATGGAAATTTTAGTAGTTTAGCGTAGACTGATTTGTTCGTTGCTCTTTATCCATCACTTTCTTTGTTGTTTTGCGAAAGACATCTTCATTGCACAGAAATTCTGTCTTATCGTGCTCTTAATTAGTTTTGCGTTTCTTTCTGCACTATTAGCTTATTATCCTATTGTTCTTAGTGAATTGATGTATTAATAGTCTGTTCCTGAAATTGCATTCTTCCTTTTCTCCCCCGACTTTTACCAATTATGTCATTTGATTGTTCAGCCAAAGACTTCAAAGCACGGTCAGGTCTGCCAGATCTGTGGTGACAATGTTGGCACCACGGTGAGCGGTGAACTCTTCATCGCTTGCGATGTTTGTGCATTTCCCGTCTGCAGGCCTTGCTATGAGTATGAGAGGAAAGACGGGACTCAATCTTGTCCTCAATGCAAGACCAGATACAAGAGGCACAAAGGTTTGTTGGAAATTAGTCTTAGTCATTACTTGTTAATAGATGAGCGTGGAGAAATAGAAATGGATGATGTTGATTTTTCTTATTTGCAGGAAGTCCTCCTATTCGGGGCGATCCTGTTGAGGATGACATGGATGATGTTGATTATTCTTCTGGAAATCAAGACCAGAAGCAGAAGATTGCAGAGCGTATGCTAAGTTGGCATATGAGCTATGGGAGAGGTGAGGATGTCAGGACCCCAAACTATGATAAAGAAGTTTCTCTCAACCATATCCCTTTGCTCACCAATGGCCAGTCGGTAGGTCAAGCATTGTTTAAGCATGAATTCATCCTAACTAGTTATGTGAATGGTCACTGAATGAGACTGTGTCCTTGGTTTGTTTTTTCAGGTTTCAGGAGAGTTGTCTGCAGCATCTCCTGAGCGTATTTCCATGGCATCTCCTGGGGCAGGTGGTGGAAGCAAGCGTGTGCATCCACTCCCTTATTCAGTGGATGCCAATCAGTCACGTATGTGTCTCTCTCTCGTCCCCTACATACACACAAGCACACACGCACACACACACACATATTTAAGATGCATTGCACGTAAGCACCAATATTCTGTTTTAGTATTGATTCGAGCTTCCAAAAATATCTTCTATTTGCAGCTAATATTAGGGTTGTAGACCCAGCAAGGGAGTTTGGTTCACAAGGATTTGGTAATGTAGCGTGGAAAGATAGAGTCGAGGGCTGGAAGGTGAAGCAGGAAAAGAATGTTGTTCCAGTGAGTACTCATGCCACTTCTGAAGGCAGGGGAGGTGGAGATATTGATGCCAGCACTGATGTACTTTTGGACGATTCTTTAATGTGAGCTCCCTTTTTATTGGATACCACAAACTTTAATTTGTTATTGAATTGTATATATTTATAAAAGTTGGATTTTTTTGTGGGGTTCTGTAGGTTCTGTTTATCTGTCCATCAAGGTTTGGGATTTTGACATTTTTCTACATTCTACAATACTTGGTGTAATGGTAAAATCTTGGACTGTCAAGCTTGAGAACACAAGTTCAAGTCTGAGAGTGGCCACTTTGTGCAAAAAATTGCCAAAGGTTAGGACCATATCCAGTCCATTCCTCCCAAGACCCCACATGGTTGGGACCAACATTGGGAATGACCTTTTTCTAATGAATTCTACTACTCTAGGATACATCACCTTCTCCTGGAAAGTTTAGAGACTGTTGGTCTTTCTTGGTTGTTAAACTAAATTTGCAACTTGAACCCTCAGAATTAGCTGTGTATATGGTGAGCGGTGACTCATTTCTGTTGTATATAGCTTAATTATCAAGGCAGCACCTAGACAACAAAAAATCACAAGACAGCAGTCTTATTGTAATATTATTACTATGGGCACATATTATTGCTAGACGTGTTAACACATTCTATCATATATTATTAATGAAGAGAGTTGATATTTTTATATCTATATGCATGCCAATTGGTATGTAAAATTAGAGAATTAACCTAGAATTTAGTTTTTTCTTTGTAAAATTCTATCACCTAGGTGGGCATATAGGCAGGTGATTAGGTGTTTCATTATTTCCTAGAATCAACTAGACTCCATTGCCAACCATGCTTTGTAGTTTCTTTGACACAAAAGTTTTGCAGGACTATGTATGCATATTTAGTTTTGTCCTTGTTATAAGAAATGAGCCTCAATGCTTTGTTTTTATAATGCAGGAATGATGAAGCTCGGCAACCTCTTTCAAGGAAGGTCTCTATTCCTTCAGCTAGGATAAATCCTTATAGGATGGTCATTGTTCTTCGATTAATTATTCTCTGCATTTTCTTGCACTACCGTATAACGAATCCAGTGCCCAATGCCTATGCTTTGTGGTTGATCTCTGTCATATGTGAGATTTGGTTTGCAATGTCTTGGATATTGGATCAGTTCCCAAAATGGCTTCCAGTAAATCGTGAGACCTACCTGGACAGACTCTCTCTGAGGTGAACGATTCTTTCTTCACTCCTCCATAATTGAGTGTCAATATATTGCTCTTTATGCTGATTTTGTGAGTTACTGATTGAAAGTTAATTTGACAACAGATATGACCGAGAGGGAGAGCCATCACAATTGGCTGCTGTTGACATTTTTGTCAGTACTGTTGACCCTTTAAAGGAACCTCCTCTTGTCACAGCAAATACCGTCCTATCTATTCTTGCAGTTGACTACCCAGTTGACAAGGTCTCCTGCTATGTCTCCGATGATGGAGCTGCCATGTTGACCTTCGAGGCTTTGTCTGAAACTTCAGAATTTGCAAGGAAATGGGTCCCTTTCTGCAAGAAATACAATATTGAGCCGCGTGCTCCAGAATGGTATTTTGCACAAAAAATTGACTATTTGAAAGATAAAGTTCATCCATCATTTGTCAAAGATCGCAGAGCCATGAAGGTAGAGTTTTTCTTCATCAATAAAGATCTTTTTTTTTTATTTGTTATTTTCCTAAATCATGTCCTTCGCCTTTTTCTTCATGTATCTTTTTTTTATTCTGTTGCAGAGAGAATATGAAGAGTTTAAAGTTCGTGTCAATGGACTTGTTGCAAAGGCACAGAAAGTTCCTGAGGAAGGGTGGGTAATGCAAGATGGTACCCCATGGCCAGGAAATAATACCAGAGATCATCCGGGAATGATACAGGTTGCTCCATTTTGCCTTAGTAGATCCGATTCAGAAGTTCATGCAGTCTATGGGTTGTTTGTAAAACCCAGTATTTCTGTTTCAGAAATGCTTATAACATTGACAAATGTTATTTATACAAGCTCATGTAGTATCTTCAGATCTAGATGATGATGTGCATATGCCTATCTTATGAACATTTTATTAAATCACCCTATTTTTCATTTCTATTTTTACATCCCAAATTATTGGCCAAACTAGTAAAGACTTACCTTGTGGCATCATTGTTGTCTACAGGTTTTCTTAGGCCATAGTGGAGGACTTGATAGTGAAGGTAATGAACTGCCACGATTGGTCTATGTATCTCGTGAGAAGCGTCCAGGCTTCCAACATCACAAGAAGGCTGGTGCAATGAATGCACTTGTAAGTATTTTTGTCATCATTAATGATCTGTTAATTTTGTAAATATCAGAAAACAGAAAGTAAAGTTACAGCAGAAGCGGAAAAATAAAAGGCACAGCCACTCAGCTGTGGTCTCATTGATAAACAAAAACATATCCTTTTTGCCAACCCAGAAATGGCAGACTCCATTACAACTCCAACTGATTTAATGCACTTCTAAGTAGCTAGACTGCTTAAATGGCTGCATAATGAAGATTGTCCATGGTATGATATATCTCAATATAATGTGCAATGCAACTCCATGACAGGTCCGTGTATCAGCAGTGCTTACCAATGGTCCCTACTTGTTGAATCTTGATTGTGACCACTACATTAACAACAGCAAGGCTCTGAGGGAAGCTATGTGTTTTATGATGGATCCAAACCTTGGGAAATCAGTTTGTTATGTTCAATTTCCACAGAGATTTGATGGTATTGACAAGAATGATCGTTATGCCAACCGTAATACTGTTTTCTTTGATGTAAGTTCTTGTGTTACTTTCTGCAACTGGGTATCTTTCATATTCTTGTGTTACTTTTCTCTTTAATCATTAATCTCTTAATGTAACTTCTGGTAATCATGTGAAAATATTTGGATTTTGTGGAAAACATTATTGTAGTTATCTTTTTGCTTCCAACTGTTCTAATTATGTTTTTATTTTCCTTTTATTCTGTATGTTAGATAAATTTAAGAGGTTTGGACGGCATCCAAGGTCCTGTTTATGTGGGTACAGGATGTGTCTTCAACAGAACAGCTTTATATGGCTATGAGCCTCCTGTAAAGCCTAAGCACAGAAAACCAGGTCTGTTTTCTAGTTTCTGTGGTGGATCACGAAAGAAGAGTTCAAAATCAAGTAAAAAAGGATTGGACAAGAAGAGATCTAGCAAGCATGTGGATCCAACTGTGCCCATATTCAATCTAGAAGATATAGAAGAGGGGGTTGAAGGTAAGGATGATTTCATATTTTCTTGGTCACCATATTTTTTTTCCAAATCAATACTTAAGAGTTTATTAAGAAGAGAAAAAAGAAAAAAGAGGGTACAATCATCAATACCCCATGGGCAAAGAGGAACAGGACCATAACATGTACAACCTTGCAGCATGAAAAGGCTAGACCAATGGATACAAAATTACACTTTTTTGTTGATTACTACATTAATCATTTGAACATGGTGTTGAGTTATGTCAAAATAGACATGCAATGTTTTTCTATTTTATCCATGAAAACAATTGATTGGTTCTTTTAAGGCTAACTCTTATGTTGTTTAATTTCTTTATTCATACTGCGTATTGTTAATTATTTTATTATAATCACTGTTATTATTGCATATAAAAATGTTATTATTCATTCATCTGGTGATAAAAGATTTTGTGAGACTGATACTTTTATTCTTGCTCCAAACCAGGTGCTGGATTTGATGATGAAAAGTCACTTCTCATGTCACAGATGAGCCTGGAAAAGAGGTTTGGTCAGTCAGCTGTTTTTGTTGCCTCTACCCTCATGGAAAATGGTGGTGTTCCCCAATCTGCCACTCCTGAGACTCTTCTTAAAGAAGCCATCCATGTTATCAGCTGTGGATATGAGGACAAGTCTGACTGGGGAAGTGAAGTAAGTCCATATCTCATTCTGATATTTTGGCTTGCATTTTGCAATTCGTTACTATGAGTTATAGGAACCTCTCATGCGATGACATTATGATACTGTAGCTTATTAAGATCTAAACCATTGTTTAAGATGGATAACAAGTAGGTGATATTTTAATAATTCGAGTCTGATTTTTCTTGGGAAAGGAAAAAAAAATTAAGATGTAAAAAAGAAAAAAGATTTGTGCCCTGTCATATGTACATGGCTTTAGGCATTCCAGCAAGAAACACTCAAGTTGTTACATGGCCTTCTGTTTCTGCAGATTGGGTGGATCTATGGTTCTGTCACAGAAGATATCCTTACAGGATTCAAGATGCATGCTCGTGGCTGGCGATCAATCTACTGCATGCCCAAACGACCAGCCTTCAAAGGATCTGCTCCTATTAACCTGTCAGATCGTCTAAACCAAGTGCTTCGATGGGCTTTAGGTTCTGTAGAAATTCTTTTCAGCCGACACTGCCCCATTTGGTATGGCTATAGTGGAAGGCTGAAATGGCTTGAGAGGTTTGCATATGTCAACACAACAATTTACCCAGTAACTGCTATTCCTCTTCTTGCTTATTGTACATTACCAGCTGTATGTCTACTTACCGGGAAGTTCATTATTCCACAGGTAACTATCACTACTTTCATCACACTGAATACATTAATTCTCACTTTGGTAACTGCTATTGAATCTCACCAAGTTGTCTGGCTTTTGACTGCAGATCAGCAACATTGCTAGTATTTGGTTCATATCCCTTTTCCTTTCCATCTTTGCCACCGGTATATTGGAGATGAGGTGGAGCGGTGTTGGGATTGATGAATGGTGGAGAAATGAACAGTTTTGGGTTATTGGAGGTGTCTCAGCCCATCTTTTTGCTGTCTTTCAAGGTCTTCTCAAAGTCCTTGCCGGCATTGATACCAATTTCACTGTCACGTCGAAGGCATCTGATGAGGAAGGGGATTTTGCTGAGCTCTACATGTTCAAATGGACAACTCTGCTCATACCACCAACCACTCTCCTCATCATCAACTTAGTTGGGGTTGTTGCTGGCATTTCCTATGCCATCAACAGCGGGTACCAATCATGGGGTCCTCTCTTTGGGAAGCTGTTCTTTGCCTTCTGGGTGATTATTCACCTCTATCCTTTCCTCAAGGGTCTAATGGGACGCCAGAACCGGACACCTACTATTGTGGTTGTGTGGTCGATTCTCCTTGCTTCCATTTTCTCCTTGTTATGGGTTCGCATTGATCCCTTTACCACCAGGGTGACTGGCCCAGATGTTCAACAGTGCGGAATCAACTGCTAGAGGGAATATAAAGACCACAGAACAACAGAAGCAACAAAATGATGTCATAGTAACACAACAGGAAATATGAAGATTTCATTTTGATATCCACATAGGCTTTTGTTTGTGATGTGCCTAAGCTGTGCCTATCATGCTGTGGTCTTATGGATTTGTGAAAGTATATATATATATGTAGATAGGACAGCGCATTTTGTTGTCTATAAGTTATGATTATTTTATTTGTTGAACCAATGAAATTATTGAGCTCTGTTTTGAGTGAGAAGAAACTGGACTAGAGCTACTTTCTTGCCTTCTGGGTTGCGTGGAAAAACAATAAATTGAATTCTAGATCTCCCAATCTGTTCTTTGTACCTTGTTTTTTGTTGTTACATGCTATTGGTTTGCAAACAACTTCAACAGGATCCATCATAATCTCAACATGACACCTTTCTTTATTAAAGGAGGTGGATTCTGGGGGTTGATACTTGTAATTTTTTCTGTTTTCTAGGGGGGATAGAAAGGCAGGCGATTTGAGTGAATGATACAGACATAAAATTGGAAAATGTTGGGCTCGCATTACCAAGCCAAATCCTAGTTGAAGCTTTAGGTCCAAGGCACAGACATTCATATTGCACTAAACAGTCCACGCCCAAGTACTCGCTGAAAACGGTTTGTTTGAGTCCGTTCACATAATCTATAATTCTATACATTAAAAATAGTCGTGAGATGCCCCATGAGTTGCAAGTGATTGTTATGATAAGTTTTAAGTCATTACATTGCAGGCTAATCCTCATATATTAGTACTTTGCTTCTATATTTTATGGGATGTGGGATTTCTTTTCTCAACACTCACACATGATCAGATATCCCCAAATATCTGCTATTTGCTGAAGCCTATGCAGTTTTGATCCGTCTCCGTATAGCTAAATCCTTGAGCTTGCATTGTATTGGAATTAAAATTGATCGCCTTTCATCCCATTTTGCATTCAAAGACAGCGTTCTGCATAAGCACATTTGGTTGTTGTCCTTTTTTTTTGGCGAAAACATTTGGTTGTTGTTCGATGACATCCAATCTGAACTCGTTTGTTTAGAGTCTGTACAATGGTTTTTTTTTTTTAAATAAATAAAAAGAGAGAGGTTTATACAATCCTCCACTATATATTATTAGTGTCATTTCAATTAGAAAAATGCGTGTTTAAAATATCAAATTTGATGTTTTAGGTAAAACTAACAATTTGCCAAAACGTTTTCAAAATATTTCAAGTAAAAAAAATCTTTCACAAAATTGTTTTGATCAACCCAAAGTACAACGCAATGCAGTAGCACCATACCAAACACCTTTATTTTCTTCTGTTTAATGAATTCCCAACTCTTCACTGACTCAAGTCAACCTTTAATTTGCAATCTTCTTATGAAAAATATTCCTGTAAGCATTTGTGGATATAACTGAGAATCCTTCATAATCCTCCTGCGGTTCATTCAACTCCAATGAATTTTTATGCTCATGGACATGCCAAGTATTGTATTTCCAGTTGGCTTTGTATATCCAACCAAACTACGAGTTCAAATCAGCCCCGACAAGATTGCCCCCCATAACGTCCCACAGCACATTCCCGCCGTGTATTGAGAATATCTCCCGATGATAATATCATAAATGATTATGTCATCATCAGGAGATGTTCCCAACACACAGCAGAGACGTGCTGTGGGACGTTATAGGGGGCAATCTTGTGGGGGGCAGATTTGATCTCCCAAACTACATGTTTTGAATTGGGATTTGTTCCTCAGCACACCTCACACCCTCACAAGTAAGGGTGTCAACAATGGACCGGTTTTGGATTGGAGCCCATCCAGTCCAAAATCAATTTGGACGGATTGGACGGACCAACAAAACATATTGGATTGGATCAATCCAGTCCAAAATATATATTAGATTGGATTCGACCTGGTCTGTCTGTAACAAATTTATATTGGATTGGGTTGGATTAAGCCAATATCTAGTCCATTGATATAAGATAAAAATATGTGTCAATGGATCAGGTTTGGGTTGAAACCAATTTAAATCAAAATGAATTTGAACAGATTGGACGACCTAGACATTGAACTGGACCAGTCCAAATTGGTTCAAAACATTCATTGGATTGGATTGGACCTAGTCCATTTATAATCAAGTCACATTGGACCCCTACTCGCAAGTGCATCCCACCATGTATTGGGAACATTCCATGAATAAATTAATGTATGGTTGGGACATGTTGTGAAGTTGGTGTGAGGAGCAGATCCGGACTCACATGTCTCCCTCCATGATATGCCACGTCAGCTCCATGTATATGCACCCCACATGTCAGATTGATGTGATGTATCACGATTGGTCCATTATCCTCCAGGCTTCCATAAAGGGTAGGGATGCATTACCAACAAAACACTCCCAACAGGCCATTGCACAGGGGAAGGGAGAATGAGGTTTCAGCCTAGGGTCAGAATTTCTAGGCCCAAAGTACAATTGAGGTAGGTGACAGTTCGGAATTGATGCCAATTCATGGGGAGGCATTGATGTATAGTGATGAAGGAAGATTTGGCCCGACCTCGCAAATCACATCACGTGGCAAAAAACAAGTAAACTCGGCACTTAAAACAGCGTACCGAGGGTATAAACACCAAAGGGAAGAGACTAGTGGTTTGAACTCCCTACAAAGTGCCCGAACTCCCTACTTAGAGCTCGAACTCCCTACGAGGAGCCCGAACTCCCTGCAAGGTGCCCGAACTCCCTACTTAGAGCTCGAACTCCCTACAAGGAGCCCGAACTCTCCCTTTGA